TTCAATTAATGATTCATTGTTGGCGCTGGAAGACGCTCGATGCATTCTTAAAATGTTTCAGCTCTGTTTTGGCCAGTTTTCCAGTCCAACTTTTATTTTAACCATGTTAAACTTACCCGAGTATGAAACACTTGATAGGTTATAGGTACAGATAACCTGCTAGACTCCAGAAACTGAGGGAATTAAGTTGGTGTTATTATTTTATACCCTTTATTATATACTCTTCCCTATGAGAATCGCTGACTTTTCAAAATCAAAAAGTTCACTGCTATGAACAATTAAGCTAATTATTTCCTTAATCTTTTATACCTCTGTCTTAACGGCTTCTACAGTTGATAATGGGAAAATGCAGTTACTTATTAAAACCCCTTCCAGCCTGCTTGGAAGAAGTAACCAGAAGAAGTAATTCTGCTGCTAATTAAATAATTGGACACATGGTGTTACGGTGGCCCAGAGGTTAGGCTCTGGGTTCCTGGGGTGCTGTCTGTGTGGAGTCTGCATGTTCTCTCTCTGTGTGTGTGTGTGTGTGTGTGTGTGTGTGTGTGTCCTGTGATGGACTGACCCTGGTGTGTCTGTGTGTCCTGTGATGGACTGGTCTTCTGTCTAAGGTGACCCATCCTTGTGCCCACTGCTTGCTGGGATAGACTCCAGCTCCCCTGTGACCCAGTACTGGATAAAGAGAAGACAGGTGGAGGTTGTAACTGAGCACAGGGCTAAGTCCAGCCCAGGCAGTGCAGGAACAGAGGCTGACACCCCTGATTTAACAATCACCTCTAAAACCTGCTGGACCAGGACTCCCAGAATGGTCCGTCATTGCACCCCCGAAAGGGTATATGAGGATCCAAAGGGGCATGTAACAGCTTTTTATATACAAATACACTATATTTCAGACTATAAGGCAATGTTTTTTACAGTCATTAGTAAGCAGAAACCTACAACTCCACTTCGAATCGAGCTTTCCCTGATATTCAGTGTTTTAGTCACAGACTTGTTTTTGCTGCTAACTGGAAGCTATCCAATCACAGAAATGGAATAAAACAGCATTGTATCAAGTCTTGTCGGCATCCATGATGAATTCCAGAGATAATTTCTGGACGTCATAACAGAAATCCTGTCTGGTAACTTGCAAGAAATTCTTTCATCTGTGAAGTTCAGCCCTTGCCAGAGAACTAAGAGTGTCTCCATCAGCCCGGCGCATCTTCAGCAGTTAACCCTTGCAGAAGGTTTGGTCGAAATCCGCTCCTGTCCAGCCCAGGAACAGGCGAGCGAGCTCTGCATGCTCTCGGCGGGGTTTAGAATTAAGCGCCACTGCAGACCTCATCCTGAGAGACTCGCACTGTGCTCTTTCTTTCACAAAGCTGAGAGTTTCATAACTTGTGGCAAGCAGCATCAGATCTCATACTGATAATGTTTGAGGTGAAGTCTTAAATGAAACAAACTGAAGTTCAAACATCTTACAAACATCCTACAACCTTAAATCCGTCTCCCTATTTTGTTTGGTAAATACAGGATCAGTAACCCCCCCCCCACACACACACACACACACACACACACACACACACACACACACACACACACACACACACACACAGTGTGCTTCAAAAGGCTGAAAGGCTGGACACACTTGCCTTTGGCCACCCTGTGCTCCGGCAGGAGCCACTACTGGACACATGGACACACGGAGCCCCGCTGGATCCATTCAGAGACTCAAGCGATCGGTTCAGTTAACGCAGATCCCCTCCTCTCCTCCACTGCTCATCTTGGAAAAGCCCCAGGTTTCCTCCAGCAGACCCGTTGGCCAGGTCTGGTGTCTCCTGCTGGAGCCTGGGGACTTTCTCCTCAGAAACAGCAGCTACAGGGAACCACCGAGAGGAGGGGCCGCCGAGGCAGCGAGGGGCTCGGGCTGCTCGCACGGACGTGGGAACGCAAAGGGAAACCGCAGAAGCGTGGGCTGACAGGTGCGGAACAAGGCTCCGAGGGGCCCCAAGCAGAGAGCCAGCCTTGCTGGTCACTGGAGCGCCTTGTTTCTGAGCCAGTTTGTGAGTATCTACACAATGCAACGTGTGGATATGGGAGAGTCTGCCTTCTGGAGACGAACCTGTAGAGCAGCAAGCGCTTGCTCCTGGATTCACTTGTGTGCGCACACTCACACACACTCACTCACACACACACTCATGCACACTCACACTCACACTCACTCACACACATACTCATGCACACTCACACTCACACACACTCACTCACACTCACACACACTCACACACACACTCACTCATGCACACTCACACACACATGCACACTCACACACACACTCACTCACACACACACACTCACACACTCACACTGATGCAAAACATCTCAATGTTGCCCTTAAAGTGGGAATTTACAGACCCCTTGTGCTTGTGCTGCTGTTGAAATACTTCCAGACTGGCAGCACTGAGCAGCTGGTCACGCCCACAGAGGAGCACAGACAGGTCACAAACGAGAGGGGCCCTTCAGCTGGCCTGTCGGGTTGATAGTAGTTTGTCTAGGATTCATCCAGCTGTTTCTTGAAAGAAGTCAGAGTATCGGCTTGTTCCACACTCCCACCAGCCTTTGTGTAAAGAAGTGTGGTAAAGACATACTGGTAGGTTAATGGGCTTCTGGGAAAATTGGCCCTGGTGTTAGTGTGTGTCTGTGTCACTGGGATTAGCTGGTTGTCACGGAAGCCGGAGGCCAGCCGTGGAGAGACCGGCAGAACAGGGAGACCCAGTGCGTGGTGGCAGGAGCAGCGCAAACGCTCACGGTATCGGGCGGAGTCGGGGACGAGACAAACCCTCAGGTTGCGGTAGCCCTGGTGAGGCAAGCCTCTTGACAGCTGATCCCAGTGCCGGGCCAGGAGGATAGGGAGACCCGGAAACATATAGCCCCAGACGACGAGACAGACCGGAAGAACAAGTGAAGCACAGGGAACCCAGGAAGAGGACAGAGCAGGAGCGCCCTCTGGATGTAGAGGGCGGGACACTGGTGTCCTGTTCGGGGTGGACAGTGGTTAGGAAGTGGACATGTGTGTCACGCTTGTACCCCCCCACCCCGAGCTCTGTCTGTTAGCCCGAGTTCCTCTTTCCTGCGGCCACGGAGGAGATAAGGTCTGTTTCGTCTCATCTCTGGCTGCCGCAAATCGTCTTTCATCACCCCACCGGCCTCTTCCCCTGCTGCGCCGGCCGAGAGAGCGCACTGCCCTCTCCCAACCCCCGGGGCAAACTGCCACCCCGGGGCAACGGGGGCTGTGTGGACAGATGAGCTCCAGGGGCAGAAGGAAGCCCGGCGAGTCGGAGCCTGGCAGGCTGGCGTCGTGCCCAGTGTGTGCCCATCCCCCCCACACCCAGGCCGATTGTCCTGCTGGAATCCCTCTCCCTGCCTGGGCCTGCATCGCCATGGCGACGCCAGAGCCCTCAGAGCCCCCTCCCCCCGGGTGAAACATGAGCCCAGTCGCACAGGAACCCAAAACTCACGGCCTCCCCTTCATCTCCCCTCGGCCACCAGGGAATCTCGTCACAGCCAACAGGATGTGAGGACAGAGTTAACAGCGTAGAGTTGAGAGAATCTTGTTAGTATCAAGGAATATGATCAACTATACAAAACCCTTAAAGCCACAGACAATGTTAACCCTGCGGTTTTCTTCACAATCGACTGAGAAACACGAACCACTACTTGGAAGTGCATTTAAGTCTGAGCACAGGAGCCTCTTCTTTACACAAAGGGTGGTGTCAGTGTGGAACAAGCTGCCCAGCTGTGTTGTTGAAGCACATGTTCTGGCTTCTCTCAAGAACTGGTTAGATGAGATCCTTAGATCAATTCACTTCTCAGCAACCAAATGAGTTCGAATTAGAATCAGTTCATTTGCCTAGAATGTTACACATACAAGGAATTTGATCCGCTGCCTTGGTGCAAAACCACAGAACCGATCAATAATACATGTGCACTTCACACAGAGGACACACACAGGTCCACAGTTATATACACACTGCATCTGTATCCCTGTGTGCTGGGGCAGCAAGGTGACAGTCATGGAGCAGATGCCAGTCTGGACTGGGTGATAGTGTCTCCCTGAGGTGAATTTTTGAAACAGATGCACAAGATTTTCTCCTTGCTTCTTTAGTCCAAGTTTGTACAGGATATCGATAGTTGGGAAATGGCAGCCAGTGGCTCTCTCAGTGCAGTGTGTCCACACCGCCGGCCCCTCACGCACAGGTGTTGCAATTTGCCTCTAGAGTGACGCATTACGAAACCGAGCACAGAAGCTGTGAGAAAGATCTCAGTAACGGCTCTATGACGCTGAAGGAGAATGGGCTGGGAAGCACAAGATTCTTCAGCCAGTCTCTGGGGCACTTACTCTGTGCAGCTGGTAACATCTGAGGGTGTTAGAGATGGTTACTCAGCCATACTCGCTGTGACAGCGGCAGGTTTTTGGAGGTTTTTCGGAAAGCTGTGGAGCTGAAGGCTGGTGTCACTGCACCCTGTAGAGCAGACCCACCGCCTGCAGCCCCTGGGCTGGTCTCCACTGTGAGACCCCTGCCGGGGGGGTGCGGGAGGAGCAGCAGATGAGCAGACGAGCCCAATGACGAGTGCTGTCAATCGTGTAATGAATTAAATGGGACCAGAGAAAGTAGGCTACTATTAAAACACATCCTGGGGAAGTGTGTAAAACGATGCTTCTCTCCTTTGGCCAAGGCTCTGTTGCCAATGCTATCGGCACACAGTCAGACATGTATTATGAAAAAGAAAAGAAAAAAAAGATGTTTAAATAAAGAACATATACAGTCAATTGTTCAAATTAAGAAGGTTAATTGCTGTGGGAATAAAAGATTAATTAGTTTTGGTGCTCTTTAATCTAGGTATTGTAAACCGATGACCAGACGGAAGGAGCTCAGATACACTACTGCGGGTGGTCATATATTGGCATTTAACACATTTAATAAATGTCTACTACTACCTAAATACGAACCACACTTAAATGTTTTCGTTGTGTTCTGCTGATCCGCGTTTCCACACCGCCCTCTGCTGGCGAACTGATGAAACGACCCAACCGGCTGCAGAGCAGGGAGTCGCAGGGAGCCACAGAGATGTGGCGGACAATATTTATTATAATAGAATGATGATAATAACAATAAAATGAGGTTGTTTCAAACCTGGGTACAAATCTAGAAAGAAGCAACTTCTGTTTTCGTATTGGAGTAGTTGGTGAATGCACTTTATTCGGTACCGGTGAAAATCCATTTAAAAGCTGCAATCGAAACAAAATGTTATAGTACAGAATGAAAATAAATGTTAAGAATCGTAATAGACCATTTAATCCAACAAAGTGATTTCAAAGACATTTATAAACTATATCTTGCAGTAGTTTTGAGCCCGTGAAAACGTAAGAATCACACATTCTTATGTAGCTGTGAGATAGTTGTCGCGATGTAACGCGATGTCATTCCTAATGCGTCTGGTCACACACATCATTACAGCTGACCTCAGCACCGGTTCAGCACTGGGCACGCCTCGGGAATGAGCCCGACAGTCCTGCAGAGCTGGTCAACAGGAATCCGCACTTCTCTTCTTCATGACGGCTCACTGGCGCTTCGGGCTATTGGCTCGCTGTTTCCTTTGTGACCAATAAGAAATTGATGTAAATATAGGGGGCGGTGCATGCGGAGCCGTAGCCTAATTGGCTGTCGTTGTCGTGAGACGCTCTTAGAGCGACCTCTAGCGCGAGGTTTTTGGTTTATTAGCCAACACAGCGAAACAAATGCACAAATGCATATGTGTATGCATATACACAGCCACCACCACACTCATTCAAGGCCCCTCAGGACAATTCCGGATCACCCAGACAGCATCTTGTACCTCCAGCAACCTTATTTACTGTATCTCTTGCAGTAAATGCCCAGCCATCTACATTGGTGAAACAGGAAGGAGACTCGGAGACCGCTTCAGAGAACACGTCAGGGCTGTGAAGATTAAAGATCTCTCCAAGCCCATTGTTTCTCATTTCACCTCTGACGGCCACGACCACACTAATCTCTCCGTCTGCGTTCTCAAAGACGGTTTTCCGAACTCATACATCAGAAAGACCACCGAAACTAAAATTATTCTGCAGTTAGGATCACACATTCTCCCTTCCCTTAACGACAGATTACTGTTCTTTTAAATTTTCTCCATTCATTGGAAGTTTCATTTCACACCTCTCTGCACCCATTCTGACTTCACACCTCTTGATTGGCCTCTCTTTCTGTCCCCTGCTCCCGCCTCTCACTCCTCCTCCCTCCCAACCTTTGTTCTCCAGCTACTTTACCTTTGCCTACTGCCCTGTCTCTCTCACACCTGAAGAAGGCTCCACGGCCGAAACGTTGTGTTCTCTTTCTTCTTTTTTTCAGCATGGAATAAACCTATTACTTGTTCCTTTGCAGCCTACGCATGCTGACGCAGCTACCCACCTGAACTACAAATGCATATATCTACGTTTTTCAAAAAGCCGCCTGTAGATGATCAGACCAGTCCCGAAACAAATAAGACATGAGATGCTACAGGCGTCTTGGGTTTTGAGGAGTACAGCCTGGCTTCCCGAACACAAGCAGCAGATACATACTCGACCTGTAGGAGTTGAGCACGAAAAGGTTCTAAAATTTCTCCTGTAAACAAATTACAAGTTTTGGAATGCATGAATAACATTAAGATAATATTGACGGATAGATGCGAGTATGCATTTTACAGATAACTATTCAGATCGCCTCTAAAGGCCCTGCAGTATTTTTAAGTGAACGACGTTTGTATGTTGTATGAAGTTGCAAATTCAAGCCTTTTTGAACACGTGGCTCGACTGACTGGTCAAATCTTTACACGTCCCTTGGGGCGTGTGTTTATTTAAGATAGAGACAGTGAGAAACCGATCACTTCTTCAGATTTTTAAAAAGCACATCACTACGAAGTATTAAGACGTGCTCGTTAAAGCCTCTTGGTAAGAACATGTAATTGTTTGCTAGTGTTCGCTTTTTGAGACTACACCCTCAACACTTCTGATTAGGGTATGTGATGTTCGAAACAAATTTAATTTTCCTGCTCACACAAACGCACAGAAGACACTGATATTAAATGCAAAATCCACCGCCGCCCCCTACCCGAGCAAACAGAGGAACACAGTTGCAGAACTGTTACTCTCGCACCGGTAGGAGACGCTTAAACTCGGCAGACGGAGGTCAAAGTCACCGTGCATGGTCACGTGATCACCGGAAAAACAAGACGCTATATCTCGGGAACAAAAGCAGCACAAACGCTACTTTCAATGGCACAAACACAGCACTATCGAATGAGGTGGGTTTCATCGATTGGGCTGTCTGTAGGGGGGCCAGTTTCACAGAGTTCAAAGTAAATCCTGCATGGTATTTTAAATACAGTATTTCAGACGGATTTTGAATCTTGTATTTTGCGTTGTGTTCATTGTGGTTTGCAATAAAATATTAACTTCATTGTAACTTGTAAAACTTCTGAACAATCTAAAAGCAGGCATATGAAATACTTAGAACTGTTACAAGCAAGAAGTGAAAATGAGCTCTTGCAGCTGTTCTTCAGCTAAAGACTAAGTCCTTATATGAGAGGCCTTTGCAAACCAGCTGTCATTTGAACGGGAATTTGCTACGTGACGAGATTACCGCCATATCCAAATCCAAGTGCCGACGCCTGCGTCTGGTCTAGAAGGCCACAACCTCACCACAGAGGTGGGAACTGATTGTTTTTGTGTGTGTGTCCGCTGTGGCACAGTAGCATTAGGCAGCCTGGTAATTGTTGCTTATCCTGTGTGTGTGAGAGAGACAGTATACTGTATATAAGGTTCTGCTAATTCCTCTGTTTGATTATACCGCTCGAGGATGGCATTGTAAATGGGAGGGGTGCCCCTGTGCTGGCAGGACGGTCAGTCAGAGCCCGGGCCGCCCACTCTTGCACAGGCCCACCCGACAATCACTTCCTGGCTACGCCCCTGCGGGCAGGTGCTGTTCTTTTGCTTGAATCGCGGAGGCTGGGCTCAGGGTTAATATTTCAGGTAAATACGAGCTCCCTGTTGAGGGGCGTTCCCAATCCTGGTCCTAGAGAACCTCTTCCCGCGCGGTCACTTCCACCCGAGCCCTCAGCTGGATAACTGCACCTCGGGCAGCCCTAGCTGGTGCAGTCTGAGCTCCTCAATGCGCTTGGTTCCTGAACGGGCTGGAGCTTGTCTCCTAACTACTGGGTGGCTTTCGTAACTAAATCCCCACAAAACCCCTAATCAAGAAACTCGCAGGCTTAACCAAGGAGCTAAGTCCCAGGCTCAGCTGCTGGGAAAACCCAGTGTGGGTTTCCAGGATATGGATTGGGAAAACCTGCATTGCATCACACATGAATCTGCCTGGTGACGCATGCGCTGCTGTAGCGGCCCCTCATTTCGGAATTTCTGCTGTTCGAGGCTCGGCCACCAGGGGGCAGCAGAGTCCCTCTGGCCAGCTCGTATTGCGGTACCGCATACCTTGCTTTGAAGTTGCTCCATCCCCCCTCGTCCAGCAAGAGCGCACATATCCTCTCGGGCTGCAATGCAAAACTAGCCTCTGACGAGCAGATAGAGGAGGGAGGGACAGAGGGAGTGCCGTTAACACCCCAGAGATACTGGGCTAAGAGACACAAGTACAGCAGCTCCTCGCAGAGACAGCTTGCAGCCAAGGGACACTGAAATCCTGAATCCCAGGACTGGCGTGTGGATCCGAAGCAGACCAGCGTGGTGATTGCAGTTGTTTCAGGAGTGGGAACCCCCTGTCCAAGGATGAGCAAGCCCTATCCAGATGAGCCCAGCAAGGACCCCAGCGCACCCCCTCCCGGCTGGGACCCCGCGGTCAAGGCAGGGGCTGCGTACCCCCCTCCTCCACCCTACCAGGATAACCCCATGCCGCCCGGAGGGTACCCCATGCCGGCTCAGCCCTACCCCCAGTACCCCCAGGGCACCACGGTCACTGTGCAGCCCACCATCTATGTGACCCAGACCCCGCTGGCTCACCCGCTGCCGGACTATCTGGGCTACTCCATCTTCACCATGCTGTGCTGCTGCCTGCCCCTGGGCATCGCCGCGCTGGTGTACTCCATACTGGTGAGTCCAGCACTGGGGCCGAGAGGGAGAGGGTCAGGGAGAG